GGATTCTCTCTCTCCCTCTCTCTCTGTCCCTCCCCTGCTCATGCACGTGCACTCTTTCTCTCTCTCTCAAAATAAATGTTTTTAAAAAATAAAGTTTTTTTATAGCAGATTTACTTATATATAATTCACATACCACAAATCCAGGCTTTTAAACTGTAACATTCAGGTTTTTAATATATTCACAATGTTGTGGGACTATCACCACTAATTCCAGAATATTCCATCACCCTAAAGAGAAATCTCATATCCATTAGCAGTCAGTCCCCATTTTCCCCTTCCCCTAACCTCTGGAAACATGTATCCACTTTTTTTGTCTATGGATTTGCCTGTTCTGGACGTTTCACATAAATGGAATTGTACAATACGTGGCCTTTTTTGAATGGCTTCTTTAACTGAGTGTAATGTTTTCAGGGTTCATCCATGTTGTGACATGTATCAGTACTTCACTCCTTTTTATGGCTTAATAAATCCACTGTATAGATATATCACATTTTATATATCCATTCACCAGTTTATGGACATTTAGGTTGTTAACACTTTTTAGCTATTATAAATAATGCTGCTCTGAACACTTGTATACTTGTTTTTATGTGTACATATGTTTTCAATTCTCTTGAGTATACCTGTAAGAATGGAATTACCATTATGTTTAACTTTCTAAGGAACTGTCAGACTGTTTTCCAAAGTGGCTGCATTATTTTGCAATCCAGCCAGTAATGATGAGGATTTAAATTTATCCACATACTTGCCAACACTTTTTATCATTTTTTAAAAAAGGAGTCTTGGGGCACCTGGGTGGCTTAGTCGGTTAAGCATCCAACTCCGGCTCAGGTCATGATTTCATGGTTCTTGGGTTCGAGCCCCACGTGGGCTCTGTGCTGACAGCGCAGAGCCTGGAGCCTGCTTCAGATTCTACGTCTCCCTCTCGCTCTGCCCCTCCTCAGTTTATGCTTTGTCTCTCTCTCTCAAAAATGAATAAATGTTAAAAAAAATTGTAATAATAATAAAAAAAGTAATCTCTCTGTCCAACACGGGGCTTGAATTCACAACCTTAAGATCAGGACTCTCACAATCTACCGACTGAGTCAGCCAGGTACTCCTTACCATGTTTTTGTTGTCACTGTTGACTTTTTAGCCATCCTAGTGGATATGAAGTAGTAAAGATTTATTTTTCAACTCAAACCATGTCTCTTGCCTTGGTGTCCTGCTGTCTGTCAACCAATACATAGACCATTAGTCAACACAGAAACCACGCCCTATGTCCTGGGCTATGTTCTCTGCTGAAGGATATAAAGAAGGTTAATGCCCGTGACTTTGAGGATCTACTCTTTATTTACCAAATACAGGAAAGTTAACACAAGGTAGTCTATGGTCAGTACCAAAATTCTTACTGGGACAACTAGGGCCCTGCAGGTTCTGGCTTATGTCTCTCTCCAACTTTGTCTCTTTTCACCTGTTTCCTACTTGTACTGTTCTCACCTTTTTTTTTTTTTTTTTTTTTTTTTTTTTTTTTTCCCCTTTAATGTTATCAAGTTTCTTTCTGCCTCAGAGCCTTTCCCCCCCCCGTTCTTTCTCCTGGAGATCTTCTCTCCCAACACATACGACATTACCTCATTCTCTTGGTTTCAGCTTCATTGTTACCTTCACAAGGACAACTTTCCCATCACCCAAGCCAAGGCTGGCTCACTGTTCTATATGCTCATCACCTTGCTCTTTATCTAATCACAGTAGGCATGGTGGGGAGTGGAGCTGTGAGGGATTAAATGCCTAGGTTCTGGAGCCAGACTGTCTGGGTTCCAGTTCTGCCTTTGAGACTTACTAGCTGTGTAACATCAGGCAAAATACTTTACCTCCTTGGATACAACTATAATAGAACCTAGCATATAAAGCCATCGAGAGGGTTAAAAGAAAAAAGTCATTTATGTCACCTGGGACTTGTTTGGTATTCTTTAAATGCTAGCCCTTATTTTCACAGTTATAAATTTAACAATTTTTTTATGTAGATTAAAAAGAAGCATGCCTCATCAGTGCTGTATCCTCAGCACCTAGCACAGTACCTATCACATAGTAGGAATTTAATAAATATTTGTGAGTGAATGAAGGCCAAGTGTATCCCACAGGATATCAGAGGAAGGAAAGGCATTTTAGGGAGGAGATGGCCAACCCCAATCAATTGGTAGTGACATTCTGGAGTCCTGTGTGGAGAAATGATTTTGAAGTTGCATGTGGGTTCACAGTGGGCTGTAATTGATTAAACATGTCTGCCAAGGCACTGGAAACAAAACAAAACAAAACAAAACAAAACAAAACAAAACAAAACCCCTGCAAAGTAAGCACTAAGGTTTTGACATCTCTGCTATAGAGAATACTCACTATCCTATTGGAAACAGTCTGGAATTGTGAAATGACCACAGTTTGCCTCCTTTGTCTCAACTGCTTCCCCACTCCCTGACCTTCCATCTTTCCCCTGGGCACTCTGGGCTCTGTGTTGCATTCATTGTAAAGGCCCTCTGCTGCATTGTGTTTCTTTATTTGGGCTGCTCTCTGCACCTATTTCCATCAGCTTTACTTCAGCTATCTCACTCCTGCTCTGATAGGCAACGAAAATGAGTTGAACCAATCCACTAAAGACCCTAAGATGACTGGACTTGACTCTTGATTGTGTTTTCCATTCCATTTAACCTGCAGTTAAATCTAGCCTGGGGGTGGGGTGTGTGTGTGTGTGTGTGTGTGTGTGTGTGTGTGTGTGGTATAGGGCTGGGTAACCATGCCATGGTGGAGAGCAGGGGAGCGGGCGGCCAAGGAGGCCTAGTGAAGTGGACCAGAGTGAGGGCATATGCACACTCCATGCCTGCCACACTGGAAAGTGAGTCCAGTGCTGCCACAGCCTCCAACTTCCCAAGAGAACCCAGAAATCTGGATTTTTACATGAAATCTCCCTAGTTTCAAATGTTTGCAATTAAATAAATTTTAAAGAAAGCAATGGGTAGACCAAAGAAAATGGTGTTGGGCTGTACTTGGCCCATTTGCTATCCCTGAGTCTGCCCTTACTAACCTTTCCAATCCCTCTGCAATGGCCTGGTCCTTCAGAATCCAGCCTTCCGTGACTTCCCCTTCATGACACCACCTCAATCCTTTCGTCAGAAATCTTTCTTTTTGTAGAACACTCTGGGGGTCCCTCATGGTAATTAGCATCGTGAGATCTGCTTGTGTTCCTGCCAGGTACCAGGCATTCCCCATTTCATTCTCTCAGCCGCCCAGTGAAGTATTTGCACATTTAGAGATGGTGGGGGAGGGGGAAGGGACGCTGAGCTCTTGCTGGGGTCATAAAGCCAAAGAGTTAAGTGTTGGCGCTGAGATTCCAACCCCTCAAGTCTGGTCTCTACCTTTTATGGCACTGCCTCCTTAAACTCCTCAGCCGCAGGGCCGTGGTGTCGTCGCCTCGGGACTCAGTACTGACTCTGCCTGCGAGACTCGCGGGCCTCCTGCCTTTTCTCTTCCCGCCTTTTGGCCTCAGCGTTTCCCTCTCCGGGTTTTCTCGCTCACCGCCCTTCTCAGGCGAAAATCCTCTTCCGCGCTTTGCGGAGAGCCGGGCGTGGAGGCGGTAACGCGCACGCGCGCAGCGATCCGGCCCGGGCCGAGCGCGCGGCCCGGCGATTGCGGGTGAGGGAAGGGCCGGGGCCGGCGCCGGCGGGATGGCCGGTCCGGGGGTGGGGGAAGGGGGTCTCGGGGCGGGGCGGGCGGGGACCTCGGCGAAGGCTTCAGGACTCCCTGGGCATGCGGCGACCGGAGGCCAGAGCCCGGGGCGGGGCCGCTGTGGTCGGACGGGCGCGTTGGGCCGGGGGAGGACTTGGGCCGCCTTGACGCGGGCGCCCAGCCGGTCCGGGGCCCGTGACGCGGGCGGGAGGCGGGTGCGAGGCGGCTCCTCCTCGTCGCGAACTCTCGGTGACCTTGGCCAAGTCACTTCATTCCCCCCTCCCGAGCCGGCGCCTTCGTCTGTAAAGTGCGAATTATAAGCCCTGCCTACTAGATGGGGCGTTTTAAGGTTCGGTGGCGAGACCTCGGCGGAGTACGTGGAGTACCGGGCGGTTTGCCGGGGACTGCCCACCCTGGGGCGGGGGAGAGGGGCCTTCCTGGGACAGCGTTTTGTTGCAGCCTTTGGGCAGGAGTTCTCCTTTGGAGATTTTAGAGACTCCAGAGAATTACGAAATAGTTGCAAAACTTTTAACGTAAGAAAGAAACTTGAAGGGCTTCCTTGAGGCCCACGTTGCCCTGCTGTTAGGAGGGTGCTCACGCCCTGGCGGTGGAGACGCGAGGGTGCTCACGCCCTGGCCGTGGAGACGCTCCGAGAAGATTTAGAAAATCGTGTGGAGCAGCCGAGCGAGCGACACCCTTAGCTTTGGAAGAATTGTTTGTGATTTCTGTTGTTTGCCAAAACCCTGTATGGGATTTATGGTGCTGGCCAAGCAAGTTTAGTATGTTCCATGTGAGGCCTTTGTGAACAGTGGATTTAGTCATCTTTACAGTAAACGGATTTTGTAGAGATTGAGTATGGAGGGTCCTAATGGTGCCAAAAGCCTTTTTGATTGGTGGTGTGGGATCTCAGGAGCCCTCCCTATGGTGGGCAAAGGTCTGCGGTGTAATGGACACTCCATTTATGAACGATAGGTCACAAAAGAAGCGTATTAGATATTCTAGGTTGGAAGACGTTTATAGAGTCTTTGAATTGACTTAAACTGAAACTTCTCACTGCAGGTGACTAGTATGCAGATACCCATTCTCTGACTTGCTGGCCCTCTACTGACATGGCCCACCGGGGTGGGGAGAGGGACTTCCAGACTTCTGCCCGGCGCATGGGCACCTCGCTGCTCTTCCAGCTTTCAGTGCACGAGCGGGAGCTGGACCTGGTTTTTCTGGATCATAGCTATGCCAAGCCATGGAGTGCCCACCCAGATGCCAGTAGTGCTCGCCCCACCCGCATGCTCTTTGTGACTCCCCGGAGGCAACATGAAAGTAACATGTGAGTTTGGGCTTCTCTCCTAAGGGCTGCTGTTGCCTTAATTGGGCAGTAATCAGATGGTGGAGATTAGAGAGAATTTTATTGTGGAAGCTTGTATCGGGGGCCTTGGATACTTACTTCAGTCATCTCTGTTAAGCAGTGTGGGGATATCAGGCCTATATGTAGACCTTTGCATTCAAGACATCTAACAAATTAGGAAAGCAAACAACATCTACATAATATGGTATATAATATAGGTATCTATAATAGGACTTATATGGAAAGAGTGAAGAAAAAGGCTGAAGAGTTATTACCACTCAGGATTAGACTCATTCCCCTTGGTCTGGTGTTCTGGCTTGTTCCAACACTGGCAGCAATAACCTTTTTATGGTGATGTGATTTCCTTTTGCTGGCTTCACCCAGCAAAGTTTAGGAGCATATTCCAAGACCTTGCTTTCTCTCTTAGCTTGTCACCACCCATGGGTGCTAGGTCTGATTATATTTTCAACTGGACGACATTATAGGGTAAGGACTTTTTAAATAAACTTACTGTGTAATATTCATACAGTTACATTTGGCCTAAATAAACTTGTTTAGCAGTTCTTTTGAGCTTTAAGGTATGGTATTCGAATTCTATTTCCAAATTGGTTGATATATTCTATTTTGATGATCAAATCATGGCCTTAATAATTTTATAAACTTTTGGGGGGAAGAGACTTTTTTTTCTTTGTTTTACTCTGATTCAATGTCTAATCTTTACCACAGATTTTAGGTTTGTTGGTGAGTAGAGATCTTGGATTTTGCTTCTTTATATCTCTCATTGAGCCTTAATGAGCTAGAGGTACCATGATGTGTGTGTTTTAAACAGTGTAGAATAGTGGTTTTATTTCATTTCCCAGTGAAGGCAGCATTTTGTTAGCTCTTTTAGTTGTACAGGGCGGGGGATTTGTGACTTTTAGGGATAATCCAGCATAATCTTGCCTCTGGCCTAGGGCATAACGAAGAGCTCTTTTAAAGCTTCTTGTTAACGTTGAAACTCCTATGTTCAGATCTCATGATATTTTCTTTAAGTGACATTCTGTGGACTTGCTCATTTCAGTGCTTAGAAAATTATTTCCTCTTATAAGCCATCTCCACATACAGGTCCTGAAAGTGGGAATTTAGCATGTTTTTAGGGACTCTTTTTAAGTCATTGTGCCTAGAATATGGTTATAGTGAGGGTGTTCGTGGGAGCTAGGGGAGAAGTAGGCACAGACTACCTCGTGTAAGAATTTGATGAGTGATAAGAAGTCACTGAAGGATTTTAAGCTAGAGATTGGATTTATATTTTTAAAAAATCGCTTTGAATTTTTATTGAATAGATACAGTTCAGAAGTGGAAATAGAGAAGGCTTGCTAGGAGACTATTGTAGTAGTGGGGGCCAGAGATTGTGACAGGTTGGATAGGGGCAGGAATAGTACAGATGGAGAAAAAGGATGGCCTTGAGATATATTTCATAGGTAGAGCCAACAGGACCTGCTGTGGTGAGTTGGAAAGATGGCCCAGGACTGAAGGGAAAGGTGAAATTAGGATGACTCAGATTTTTGGCTTAAGTAGCTGGGTGGTGCTATGAGTTGGGGACTGGGGGCTTGGAGGATAGGTTTGGAATTATGAAATCCAGAGTTCCTTTTTATTTTTTTATTTTTTATTTTAAAAAAAAATTTTTTTTTTTCCAACGTTTATTTATTTTTGGGACAGAGAGAGACAGAGCATGAACGGGGGAGGGGCAGAGAGAGAGGGAGACACAGAATCGGAAACAGGCTCCAGGCTCTGAGCCATCAGCCCAGAGCCCGACGCGGGGCTCGAACTCACGGACCGCGAGATCGTGACCTGGCTGAAGTCGGACGCTTAACCGACTGCGCCACCCAGGCGCCCCCAGAGTTCCTTTTTAGACGTACAAGTCTAAGTGCCTTGCCCAGTGTCTGGTCCAGAGAAGATAATCAGCTCTTTCACCCACCACCCAATCTAGCTGCACATTATTTCACTTCGTTTCATAATGATGTAGTTATTCCAGCTATTGGGAATGGGTGTCATTAAGATCATTGGGGTCAGAAAGTTAAAGTGATGTTTGGTAGACAGCCAATAGACAATTTTTATTGGAATAGTATTTTGGGTGACTAAGTTGGTACAGCGAAGAGCCCTTATGGCACTAGGATTTCATTAACATTTTAAAATATGAAAGACCCATCACATGTCCATTTCTATTTGTTTCTGTTCTAGGCCTCTTACACAATGAGTTAAATAACTAAGGTGTCTACATTCCAGGCGATCTGTCTTAGACAATCATAGACTTTTACAGCCTATAATTAACTACGGGTTGACTTGCTAACGAAAGGGAAAGTATGTAAGAATAATTTAAAACTCTAGACTAGCACTGTCCAACAGAACTCTCAGCAATGAAAAAATGCTCTGTATCTGTGCTATCTAACATAGTAGCAGCTAGCCACATCTGTCTGTTGAACACTTGAAATGTGGCTAGTGCAACTGAGGCACTGAATTTTTAATTCTGTTTAATTTTTTTTTTTTTTCACGTTTATTTATTTTTGGGACAGAGAGAGACAGAGCATGAACGGGGGAGGGGCAGAGAGAGAGGGAGACACAGAATCGGAAACAGGCTCCAGGCTCTGAGCCATCAGCCCAGAGCCTGACGCGGGGCTCGAACTCACGGACCGCGAGATCGTGACCTGGCTGAAGTTGGACGCTTAACCGACTGCGCCACCCAGGCGCCCCATAATTCTGTTTAATTTTTATTTAAACAGTTGAATGTGGCTTATAGCTACTGTATTGGAAAGCACATCTAGGTGCAAATAGAATATATTTGTCTTTTAAAAACTACAGGTGTTTGTTATTTTTTGTATGGACTCACTTAAAAATGACTTTGTGTTCCCCCAGCACATAACAGCATGTCAGAGATCTAGACAAGTGTGGGAAAGATGACTTTGGATCATAATTTTCTTGTGGGTATACTATGCTTATACATACTTTAAAACTGATTATATTAAAGAGTCATTTTTTGGCAACCAGATGATCGTTAAAACACCTGTGTTGTGTGAAGTACGTGTGGCCTGGTCCTATTTCCTCACCTGTTTACAGTGAATCAGACGTCCCAATAGATGTGGAGACAGTCACATCAACCCCTGTGCCGCTCTACGACAATCAGAAGGCACGCAGTGTGATGAACGAGTGTGAACGGCATGTCATCTTTGCCAGGACCGATGCAGATGCTCCTCCTCCACCAGAGGACTGGGAGGAGCATGTCAACAGGTAGGCCGCTGCTCGGGAGGACTGGTCACTACAGGGTTAATAGTCATCACATTGTAAATATTTTGTATCATCATCTTCATTGAAACACATCTGTTAGGAGCTTATTTCATTTGCAGCCACACAAGTCAGAATGTTTTCTTTTTTGTTGTTTATTTTAGAGAGAGAGAGAGAGCACATGTGCACAAGAGCACACACAAGTGGGGGACGGGCATAAAGAGAGGGGAACAGAGGATCTGAAGAGGGCAAATCAGAATGTTTTCTTAACTCTCTGTGTTATAACTCTCAGCTCAGGATGCAGTGAGGTGCTTGAGGAGGGCTTGCGTCTTACCCATCTTTGCATCCCTGACACCTAGGACACTGCCTGGCACATAGTAGGCATATAATAAATGTTTATTGAATAAGTAAATGAATCAAATATGATAGGTATGACTAGTTCTGTATTTTCCATAGTACAGGTTTTATATGATATGGGACTACAAACAAACCATTAAATAAGAGTACATTTGTAAGATACTGTACTTATATGGTCTATAACTAGAGTAATGAAAATGTTTTGGAGTCGCTTGAAAAGCTAACAGATGTTTGATTTGCATGGCTTTTAAAAATAGTTTTGCAATCTGGTTTTCAGGGAACACTTCAGCCCATTTTCATGAGTTTATTAGCTGATTTTATTCCCATGCTTCCTACTGACCCAGGGGACTCCACTCTTCTCCAGCTCATTTGTCATTGTTTCTTTAGCATACTTTGTTCTACATTTTTTTTAATGTTTTATTATTTACTTTTGAGAAAGAGACAGAGTGTGAATGTGGGAGGGTCAGAGAGAGAGGGAGACACAGAATCTGAAGCAGGCTCCAGGCTCTGAGCTATCAGCACAGAGCCTGACACAGGGCTCGAACTCACAAGCTGTGAGATCATGACCTGAGCTAAAATTGGATGCTTAGTGGACTGAGCCACCCAGGTGCCCCTAGCATACTTTTTTTTTTTTTAAGTTTATTTATTTATTTATTAGAGAAGGTGCAAGTCAGGGAGGGTCAGAGAGAGAGGGAAAGAGAGAATCCCAAACAGGTTCCACACTGTCAATGCAGAGCCCGATGGGTTTGAACCCATGAACTGTAAGATCATGACTTGAGCTGAAGTTGGATGCTTAACTGACTGAGCCACTCAGGTGCCCCTCCTTTAGCGTTTGTTTATTTTTTACTTACTGCATGATAGTGTTATGAAGATAAAATATATGTACCATACAAATTACCTATTTAATGTGTACAAACAGTGGTTTTTACTTTATGCACCACCACAATTTGGTGAACATTTTTGTCATCCACAAAAGAAACTGTACCCATTAACAGTCACTTCCATTTCTTCCCAACCCCTTCAAGCCCTGACAACCTCCAGTCTACTTTCTGTCTCTCTAAATTTGCCTACTCTGGATGTTTCATATAAATGGAACCATATAGTATGTGGCCTTTTGTGTCTGTCACTTAGCATAATATTTTCAAGATTCATTCATGTTGTAGCACCAGTTAATACTTCATTCCCTTTTATTGCTGAAATTCCATTGTGTGGATATACCACATTTTGTTTATCCATTCGTCACTGATGGATATTTGGGTTGCTAACATTTTTTGACTATTTTGAATAATGTTGCTATGAACATTCATGTACTTATTTTTTTGTGGACATATGTTTTCAGTTCTCTTGCATATATACCTAGGAGTGGAATTGCTGGGTCATATGGTAACTCTTTTTAACTTTTGAGGAATTTCAGATCATTTTCTTTTAAAAAATTGTTTTTAATCCTCAAATCAGTTTTCTAGGTGTGCAGGATGGTTTAGTGTTGATCTGGCTATTTCATGAACACGAGACACAGAAAAAACTTCCGTGCTGTTCTGCCATCTTGGCTCCTCTTTTTAAAAAATTTTTAAAAATGTTTATTTTTGAGAGAGACACACACACACACACACACACACACACACACACACACACACAGAATGCGAGCGGGGGAGGGACAGAGAGAGGGAGACACAGAATCCGAAGCAGGCTCCAGGCTCTGAGCTGTCAGCACAGAGCCTGATGCGGGGCTCGAACTCACAGACTGCAAGATCATGACCTGAGCCGAAGTCGGACGCTCTACTGACTGAGCCACCCAGGCGCCCCTCCTCAGACCATTTTCTAAAGGGGCTACACCATATTACATTCCCACCAGCAGTGTGTGAGAGTTCCAGTATTTTCACATGTTGGCCAGTACTAGTACTGTCTGCCTTTTTAATTTTTATTATTATTCTAGTGGATGTGAAGTGACATCTCATTGTGGTTTTAATTTGCATTTCCCTGATGGCTCTATCTCTATTTATCTACTATGTGTAAGGGAATGTTAAAATCTTTACATCAATAGTTGATAGGTAGTAAACTTGCCATAATGATGGAGATCCCTTGTTTTATAGTAAAGAGGAAGAGGTAGTTAGATAGGAAGAAGGGTACAAAGGTTTGAGGCAATTGGCATGATTTATGAATCTGGTCAGAAACAGGGAATGAGATTGAACAGGTATACTTGTGTAAGCAAAGTAGTAGCTATTGTAAGAGGAGCCGTTCTGCACCTGGGTGAAGAGCTTGTGAAAAAGTTGTTTGGGGTCTTGAATTGGAATTAATGTTGTGCCCTAAGAAGGAGAAATGCTCTCCAGAGCTTCACCTAAACAGGGACACTTCTGCTGTAATTGAAGATCAATGACTGGAATATTACCAGAGTCAGTGAATTCAGCAAAATGGCTTATCACCATTGTTACAGTTAATAGTAATAAAAAAAAATAGTGACAATGGTAGTAACAAAAAAGAACTACCATTTGTTGAGTGCTTCCTAGGTGCCAGGCATTGTGCCAAGCGCTTCATATGCATTACTTCTTTTAATCCTCACTATAATGCTCCGAGATATATCCCTTCTCCATCTCTCTTTTATAAGATGAAGAAACTGAGCTCAGGGAGTTTAAGAAACCTTAGTTTAGGAAGTGGTGGAGCAGAGATTTATCCAAAGCAAGCCATCTGAGTCCAGAGTTCAGTGTTTTTGGCTGTGTACCCTTTCTTTAAGGGCACATCTGTCAAAGAGACACCAGTTAGTAGTGGCTGAACAGGGTGGCCTCACACCATCCTTTTGTGGTGTTATTGGCTGCCTTGTCCTCAGTTTGCAATTTCTGAAACTGCATGGGAAAAATGCATGAAGTTTTTTTTATCTGTTCACCATGGTCGTGATCAAGAAGTTTTGGGGGACTCTTCAAACGTAACCAAAGTCATTAGAGACTTAATGCATGTGAATATCAGTTTCTTAATTTATAAGAAGAGAAATAACTTGCAAGGCAGATGAGATACGGGGGTGGCCTGGCCAGAGCATCGATTCTCAGTTGGAGTCTGGGAAGCTGTTCTGTTCCAGAAATGGGTGGTAAGTGGACATTTTGCTCTGGAAGCACCCTCCTTCAACAAGACAGCTAGCACCCATCTTTCCTCAAAGCAAGATGGGCCCACAAAGTAGGCCAGGGTACATCTTCACCTGCCCAGTCCTGCAGAGAAACATTGACCGAGTCTTATCTTTGGCTTGTCTTTCTCCATGTGGATCTCCATCCTTCTGTTATGACATTGCCACAGATTGAAATGATTAATTAGCGCTCAGTTTATCTCAGATTATTTGTTTTTTAGTGTCTGATGAGATTTTGGAGGCGTCTTCTCATTAGCAACAGGCTTACAAACCATCTCTTCAGGTAGGTCACTTTTGCACATAGCTAATTTCATTATTTGATGATACTTACTGGCTTCAATTTCAGAGGCCACCATTTTATGACCTTGTACCTCCCCACCCTCACCCCCTGAATTCTGGATGTGTAGCCTGTGTAGAGCTTGCAGTTAGTTCCCTCTGCTCTGATTATAATCATCTTGTTTCCATTCTTTCCTTGACTTGATTGTTAAATTGCTGCTTCTTTTCTTCCTGTATAAAATCATGTAAAATTACCATTTCCCACATCAAGAACTCATGGGCTATAGGACAGCACTCTAGAAATCTGTTTTTCCTCAGAGCTTATTGATCTATCAGTAGAGTCAGAAACTTAATTTTTATTGTTAGTGCCCCTTTTCCCCCTTTTGAATTATTTTGGTAGAAACTACCTTTAGATAGCTTTCTGTGTATAGATAATTAGGGCCACCTCCCACCCCCAACTAACTCTTTCTCTAGTAAGGCCTGATATTTTGTGAAACAGTTTAAATATCCCTCTCTGCCTGATTTAATTGTCTAGATCAGGGGTTGGCACACTGTGGCCCTTGTACCAAATTTGACCTATTGCCTGTTTTTCTATGGCCCATGAGCTAAGAATGTTTTTTCCATTTTTAAGTGGTTGAAAAAAAGTCAAAAGACACGTGAAATTCAGATTTCTGTGTCCATAAATATAGTTCCGTTGGAACACAGTCATGCACGGTATTTAGGTATTGTTCATAGCTGCTTTTGCACTATACCCACAGAGTTGCAAAGTGGTGACCCAGACCAAATGGCCCACAAACTCTGAAATAACAAAGTCCGTTATAACAAAGTTTGCTAACCTCTGGTTAGATCGTGTTCTTATATCTGCATGTCAAAGTCATGTGACGTGGACAACCTTTGAAAATGGTTTACATTTGCTGGTATAGCAATGTTGTCCTGAGGAAGTTGGACTGGCTTTTTTTTTTTCTCCCAGATGTTTTGTCAAATGCCAAGTTTAATTAGATGCACAGCTTTTGGAAGACATTTAACAAAATACTTCTGACACATATTTCTCAGCATTGCTCAAATGAATTTTAGGACATTTCCAACATTTCAGTAAAAGAATCTAGTGTCCTCAAGCAGGTTGTCTTATCTTAGAATTCAGAACTTCTGAATTCACCCAAAGGAAAATTGTTCCCCATTTAAAATTTGCTCTAATTATATTTCTCCATATTGTGTGTATCTATCTGTGTATTAACCTTAATTGGATGTTTGATATTTTGAGTCT